TTACATCAAAATCATAAACCAGAACCTAACATCCTCATTAACAACACCACTTGAACTGTGACTGCCACAAACACAACTGAATCAATGCAGCTGAGTAATGTTTCACTTACAGAAGAATCACCTTTAACCAATGCACCATTCCTTACTTTATTTAACAACTTCTTTCAACAGCATAGGCTGGCTACATAGCGTTGAATGGGAGGAAGACTGTAAGTGTTGAATCATAAAGAACACAGAAGTGACCAAACTCATTTTAGAGTACTATCCTAGCAGCAAACTAAGAAAAATCATTAAAGAAACCTAATCTGGACAAGTGGCCTTCAGGCCAGAGGTCCAGCTTGAACTCAAGAACAAGAAGCTGGTGAGATAACCACCCAACTGTAACATCTGGAACTTAAATAAATTTAAATGTGACAGAGAGCAAGGTGGTAAATCAATAGGCCGGTTAAGCTGCAACCACATTTTCCATTTAGATCGAAACAGCAGAACAGAACCAGAGGGACTGCACAATGTTAAAATTTATAATCCATGCAAACATTCTGGCATTATGTATAAAGTCACTCTCCAATGATAAGACCCATATGTTCAATGCCACTAATCCTCAAATCTACCAGGGCACAATATTTGGCCATATAAGCCCTATTCAAATTTCATCTTCATAAGATGAACTTTAACAATATTCTTCCACCAAACACTGTGGGTGAGTAGTTAGATGACCTTTCTCGTACTTGGGAGGTCTCAAATCTAATCCTCAGCCAAGACCAAACAGCCTATGGTTTCCAGTAAAAAATGTTGTGCTTCGTGTCTTAACCCCTATCAGCTGTGTATCACATATTATGGGCACTGCAACTGCCAGTGTGCCACAGCAGCACATGCTAATCCACTACACACAGTTAAAAGCCCAAGACTCCATGACAAAGGCATTTAAATTATCTATTCTTCTGTAACAAAAGTTAAAACATGTCACACGCATTACTGTAGACAGTAAATCTATGCATTTTGTTCATGTCACTAGCTTGAGATCAGAAGGAAAACACTGCCAAATGCGTTTCGGCCTCAAGAGATCATCAGTGGCAAACAAATTAATTCATATTAAATCATACAATTCACACGACAATGGTTTGCTATAAAGCATAAAAGGTCGCACTTTATAAAACCATACTTTATGTAATACCACACTGGACGTTAATTGCACAAGAGTTGGTGTATTATCTAAATTGAGTTACTTAGCTTTATGCCCACTGACCTAAGTTGAGGTTTCCGTTGTTGGTCTGCAGTGAGCCGTGGTTGCATTGTCTGACCTCTTGAGGTCTTAAGGCGTTTGGCACCAAGTGTCAAAGCGTAAACAGTTTTGTCTGTATGCATGATTTTATATATTGTTCAAACAATAAATATTAGAAACTATTACTTATTCAACAGAAGAATCCCTACTCCCCTCACACTCTTCCTCAACCACCCACAAAACATTGTTCTCCCCCCCCCACACATTCATTTCTGATATATAGCAGCAAAACACCAAATTTAATTCAAATCAGGGAAGGGAAAGTTAAGGACTGTACTTCAGTGTGTAGATGTGACATGGATTGATTGTTGAAAAATGATGGCTGTACATTTAAAATGTCAGTGCAAATTATAAGAACAACTAAATTTAATTTATACTACATTTGAAGTTGTGGACTTATCGTACTGCAAACCCTGACACCTTGTACTTCATTTTGACCTCTGTAATGCAGTGTTTACTATTCTATTCCCTTAGTTTACCTCTGAAGGATGTACCAAACTACACTATACCAACAATTATCAACCATCTTTGCATACTTTTCCATCTACAATTTTGGCTTTGTTATAAAATCAGAACTCTGATTCATAATCATGATGTAAGTTTAAATGAATCATTCAATGATGATTCATATCTGCAAACTAGTAAATCTGACCTGTACAGATGTGATATGACCTACTTAAACTAAATCTGTTGTTCCTACACTTTCTAAAACTGCAACTTTCCACTAAATACAAAATAGTTCATATTACATTATTTTCCTATTTATTCTATTCGTGTTAACAACTAATTTAATACTAACATGACACACTTTCAAGACAATAAGAACCTACAGCAACCAAATTGGTAACTTGCGAAAATCTGAACTACAGTACACAAAACTGATTCTCTCACAAATTAAATTCTTGTATTGTTAATCTAAGTAAATACTGGGCAAAACTGTGTACCTATTTAAACTGCAAGTATGTACGGTCACGAGTGGGGCGTGTAAAATAGCTGCACCCTCGATCGGATAAAGAGATGCGTGACTCATAACACAAATGATACTCTCATACTTGAAAAATGCTCTGACCTTACGAACCATTGAACGAAATATCCAACACATAAAACGTCACTGAAATATATAACATTCAAATAACTATGTCAGTTGGAGAAATGTACCACGACATGAACAACTTCAGTTAGAATAAAAAAATTCGTAAAATTCTACAGAAGATTGTACACGTTACCACGACCGGTTACTTAAAAACTCTTACTATGCGATGAATGCATTTCCTGCCAGCAACATTGAACAGAAAAAGCTATACATAATATTAAAATGGACTTCTCACGTACCTTACACAATAGCAAATACCGTTTTACAAACGCCAAATTACTTTTTCCAAAACACTTCACAAGCCGACGTCTACAACTTCTTGTCAACCAGTGGGCGTTTGCAGGAAGTAATACGTAATACGAATTTATCACACTTAGGTACTACTATATCATCAACAAAAATTAATTATATCAGATTATAATAAAATAATAATATTTACGACTATATTCTCAGTAATGAAATAACATTTGTATTTAATCATGTACACGTACCTGAAATACCTAACTTCCGGTTTTGTTTACGAGTTTTCAGTTCCACAGAGAAATAACAATCTGCTTTACTGTCTGTCAGAGACGAAGAAGGCAACGTTACCCGGAGAATACGAAAAACTAGCAGACACGTGGTATTCTGTAGCAAGTTATGCATGTTTTAGATGCCTCAGCGTATGTCGCAGCTTGGGGGAGTGCTTTTAAGGTCCTGTGCCTGAACACAGGGAAAAAAATTGCTTTAGACTTGGGTTCCCACAGCTCAGAATAGGCAATTGATAAAAAGTTTTTTATTTATTTAATTACCTAGTATTTTCCATTACAAATAAATTACTGCTTAGTCCACAGTAATCGATGCAAATAAAGGAAGAAATTAAATAAGTGCAAACATTTATGAATAAATTAAACTTGACAACCCGTGAAGCTATGATATGCATTGTAATTTAAAAAATAAGAATTGGATGAGGAACATGGGTCAGTGTTACCACAAGCAAAAACGTTACCAGCTATAACTGACGACAGGAGAATACTATGCTTATACAGATATAACCTGACAGTGAAGAAAATGTAAAATAAATTGGCATTTTCCAAATAGTAAAGTGAATACACCTAATATTTTTGCCATGAAGTCCTTGGAGGTGTCCACTGCCATACTGGAAAATGAGCCAAATCAGAGGGTAACAGTTAACTTGGTCTCATTTTAAGTCTCACCCCTGTACAGCAGTTTCAGAAATGCCGTACTGCTTGAATGTGGTCAGCTGTGCAACAGAGGCATTGAAATCACCTCTAAATCCCACAAAAAAACCAGCTCTCTATGTGTACACTGGGATCAGAGACCGGTATTCCTTCTGCTTATTTCTGGCTGAACAACTGAAGATAGCCAACATGCACCTCTTCATATGATCACTTTTCATACTTTTGTAGTTGGAAGGTGCAGCACCACTATCAGTCCCTTCTCATAAATTCTGTTAATGTAGTTTAGTTGTTCTTTATGACACAGTTCAGGAGTTGTACTGCAAGTTACTCCACAGCAGTGAACAGGGGGTACAGTGCAAGGCATGGCACTCCTTGCTGAACAGTTGATTGACACCAGTAACAATAATACCTTTGCTATGTAACACCCTTAAGTGCAAATTGAATCTGCTCTCACAACCACAAAATTAGAGCAGTTACCTGTATGTGTGAAAAGATGTGGACAAATCCAGATATCCCAAAACCTATTTTGCTGGGAAGAACCTCTAAAAAGATAAAAAAAACTTGCATGCAGAATTTACTTCATGAAATATACTGCTGTAGATACTCAATGTCTTTATTGTCCTATTAATTAAATATTTACATACTCATTTTCATTTTGCAACTATTATAGCTAGAGGCTGAGTAATTATCCAGGCATAGAATAAATTATACCAATCCAATTCTTTTGTAACTTGTACTGTTGCTGATATGCCAGAACTGATAAGTGAAATTGAAAAACCAGATGTGACTTGTGCTGCTTGGTTCAGTATTCCTTAAGAATGGTTTTAAGTAACACATCTTTTCCCGTTCAATTTCTTCTTCATGTGCTTTGAGAAGAAAAAAAGTTGTCAGTGGAACCACGGTTCGGGAGAATTTGACGTAAATACGTCTATACAGAAAGGAAGTTTATATATTGGCTTTATTCTAAATATTTCCTTCATACATGCTTTATATTTGAGATAAGTTTGATTAAGACATTGTTTGTAAGACTTGAGGTTCTCACAGCGGTGAGTATGAAGATTTTTGTCTTCTGGGTTGTTACGCTGTGTAGTCTGGTTGATGTTAACCAACGTTTCAGAGGTCATACTGCCTCCGTCATCAGAGTGCCCTGATGACGGAGGCAGTATGACCTCTGAAATGTTGGTTAACATCGACCAGACTATACAGCGCAACAACCCAGAAGACGGAAATCTTCAAGACATTGTTTATTTAACATGAATTAGTTACGCTTAAGATGGGTCTGTGGTAGCTGAATGTAATGTAAGGTAAGATAATGTAATGAAATGTTTTATAGGTAACAACAATGCCGAGTAAACAGATGACGTTTCCTAGGTAACAAAAATGCTGAGTAAATAGATGTTCCTTAGGTAACCATTATTGTCGATTTGTTGATAAACGGATGAAGTTTCATAGGTAACCATTGTTGTTTATTTGTTGATAAACCATTGTTACACTTTTTTGCCGAATGACCCTTCCTTATAGACGTATTTACGTCAAAAAAACACTGACAGAATTATACTGAATATGAAAGAGAAAATATGCTGCCATTACTGATGCCAAATTTTGTGAAATTATGATCACATTACCACAATCAACTGCTTAATGTTGTTTAGCAAAATAATCAGTTTACTTTGGGAAACATATGAAACCAATAAATACATTCTGCAAGCAAAATGCAGAGCTGCAGATTGTTAAATTAGATGGCACCACTGGACTTTAAAGAGTTAAAACAGTCAAGTTAAAAAGAAAGTATTGTATACAAATTAATTATATCAACTACAAAAATAGAAGCTTTAAGACTATACCTTGCAATGATATACGTTGTTTGATAGTGATGTTATTTGTAGAAAGTCCACATATCAGTCATGAATCACGATGTGCTCTAGAATACTTCATCACTTCCATGAAGTGAAGTATGAATTTAGGAATAGTTCCAAGTGCTCATATCCACTGACTTGTATAAAATTTGCTGTTTATTTCATTACTGAAAGTCTACCTATATATTAAAAGTGCACAAAGTTTAACCCCTAAATTTCAAAAGATGTTTCTTTCCTCCTCATAGTTTCTTTTAAACCAATAAGATTCAATATGTCAATATCAAGGTTCAAAGGAACATCCATGAGCTCTGATCAAACAGATTTCAAACATCAAAGTAATTTCCTCCTAACTGTACACACTCACTTCCAGAGTGAAACTCTGTGATCTCTAGCAAAGCCTTAAGCCTCTTTACTTCTGAGATGCCTTTCAGTTTGAAGTACAGAAACGATCTGTTGCTGCCAAACAGTGCATGGTAAACAGGTGGAATGTTGTGATTGAAGACATAATCTTTCAATGAGACATAAGTTGGCATACTAGCATGGCCCATGGTACACTGAACTAACACTACTGCTATTCAAACATCACCTAGGATGTTGACACAAGACCCCAATGTCTGCTGCAATTCTGAGCTTTAGATGATATCACACATGCAAGGAATTGAGTCCCTCTGTTTGTGAAGATAAGAGTCAAACTAGACATGCATCTTCTTCCATGAAATTTTACCCATTAACACAAGTAAATTTTCAATCAGACATTTTTCAAATATTGAAAACTTCCATCAAAGTTCTACACTCAATTTTAAGCGCACATGCCTTCCTTGACATCAGCAATCTCACAAAATAATGATTCAGTAAACATGTGTGCAGAAATCTACACTTCTGATAAAACAGGCAAATGACAGCTTGTGTCAACAAGTGTGAACTGTCACTTAATATCATACTGTGTTTCATTTCCTTATTAAAATCAATCCCAGGTTTCTGTGACAAAACCCTGTATATATACCCATTAAAACTACTGTTACTATTTGTGCTTTTGATGTGTAAATACATAAGTTCATTGTCGGCATATTTAATCAAGAGGTAGGAGCAACATACTTTTTTCTCATTTCATTTGCAAATACAGTAAAACCTGCATATAACAGAATCCCAAGGGACATACAAGTTCTTTTCCACTTCAGACAGGTTTCTACTTAAAGACACTTACTGTACAGTATACAACCCATGTGACTATGATGCAAACAGCAGCATAAGCTTTTTTTTACATCTGTACACTGTAATATTACTCAGTAGTGCACATTTACACTTGTTTCCAGTTATCCGGCCTTCCTTTAAAACATTTCCAGTATTACTGTTAATGTAGCTGGCATGTATTTTATCAGAGGTCAGTCTTAATAGTGTTCAATACTATTTGTTGTTTCTTCACATACGAATCACAGAAAACAATATCAAACAAACTGAAAACAATAAATATTCAAGCAGATCATTTGCTGTTAAATTCTTGGATTTCATTGCTGTTTCAATTTCTTAAAGGCAATTTGATGTTGGTTTTCATTGTATATTCTTAGGACTGCAGAAATTACATGTAAGACATTTAAATCAGGTTCTATTTTAGACAGGTTTTACTGTGTATGATATGGCTTCACAACTATCACATACAAATATAAGGCAGAATATTCCCAGCTATTTAAGATACAGTGTGGTATGTTTTCACAGCAGATTTATGATCTAAATGAATCAAAACTTGGTACCATGGTTCACACTGCATCTGCCTCAATTTGACTTCTAATATATACCATTTTCACAATGCAGTCTTTAAAATAACTAGTGAAACACAGCATCAACTGAAGCAACTCCTCGAAGTGAATTATGTAGACAGCTCTTGAGCCAAAAATTATGCACTGCTTCATTCAACACATCCATGCACTCCACCAAAAATGCTGGCACTGTGAAAAAACCATGCAAAACACAACTATGTATAACAGTAACAAAGCCTAAGAGAATCTGTATTACATTACTGGTGATTTACTTATAGTATTTGTCTATAAAATTAAGTAAGAAACTTTCGCATGCATATGACTCCCTTCTTTCGCATAAATAAAAGAAATACAGTGTTTATAAAATAACAAATGGGTGTAACGTGATCTTGGAAACACTGAAGCATCAATCTATAGGCCAAGTTATTTTGGATTTTGAGACTTTTCTTCACACATAAGTTGCTTTAACACGCAGTGAGTCCTGTAACTTGGCTTCACCCCAAGTGATGTCTTGTCGTGGCACAAAGCTTGCCTCATGACAGCTCCCCAATGGGTGCATTCTGGAGCCACAGCTCATGGATGAAGTTGTAGAGATTGTCACTCACCGACACCTGGCAGCCAAGAGAATGATCACACTTAAACTGCACAGTAAGAACATGTACATCAACTTGACACAGCCAATTCATTTAGAAATGCTGCATCAGGTCTGTGTAAATATATTTAACCCTTATACCTGTAGAAACCCTGGCATTATGAACTTCTTGTTTATGTCACTGTCCAGGACTTATCAATATTATGTATACAGTACTCTAAATTATACAAAACTTGAAGCTTTAAGGCACTGAAAGTGATTAGTTGCATCAATCAGGATTTCTGCTCTGAATTGACATGGATGATGACCTGAGTTGATTTTAATACTGATCCCACCACTAAGAAATATGTAAGCAAAGCAAAATGTAGTTATGATTGTACTTCCAGAAAACTGTGGCAATTGATGTCTACCTACCTTAAAACATATTTTTGTCTCATTTGTTATGCCATGATATGATGCAAATGTTGGCACATACTACTTACAAACAGTCTATTAAAATGTAAAACACTGATAAACATCAGAGATGTAATTTTTTAGAAATATAATCCCTACATTACTAAACACAACATGCTATGAGAACAAACTCTGGAAGAAAACTCCACTTTCATACTGCACTTTGAAACATATGAAATACCTTATATGGTGTTGGATTTAGGTTACGCTTGTGGTCATTGCGCAGACTGTCCAATGATGTTTGAACTTTCTCACGAATTTTTTGCAAACCAGGCAGACAACAAGTAATCTTCCCATTCTGCCAGTATACCTGCAAATAACAACAAAAGCAAATATTGGCCCCTCTGTACATTACTTCAACTATGGCACAGATTTTTCCTTGAGCAGTTTAAAAAAATTCCTTGTTACAGAACCAACATTCATTACAAAACTCACCACAGGATCCTAACCTGTGACAGGTCAATACCATTCATAATTTCACAACCGGTATTTATAAGATCCATTTAATATTGTATTTACATGAATATAAGCAGCACACTTTTTTTTTAATTTTGCATCTCCTAAAATCAGGATGTAACTTACAACTGCAACATTTCTTTTAATGGCAAAATAATCAGAACGTATTACAGTAATACTAAGTGCTCCATTAAACAGTTTTCAAGATGGAGAAACAATGCAAATATTTAAATTGTTTCACAAGACTGGATGAATTACACTGCATGAAATAAAATGCTGTTAATGACTGTCATTATTTATGTTTTTTGCAGTGAAGAAAGTTGCCCTTGAAAACACAGCACTAGATGAGGTGCAGGGTAAAAACTTTTAGACAATGTAGCCTTAGCAGTAGTTAATTAAAATTGGAGACCATTATACTCTGTATTCCGAAAAAATCTCACCAGCCTGACATATGTATGTGAGTGTCTGAGTGGTTTGTAACACCAAACCAATATGCTCCATCTCTATCTTTCAGCTTCCATCTTGCTCTCGTTTTCAGATTCATCACCCACATGTGTATTGTGCACAAAAACTGGATGGAGTTATATACATCATTCCTTGAATGAGTGTGGGAGTATACACTGCATTACAAAAGAGTTATCTTTGGCTTATAAAACATGAGCACCAGTCTTGTACTTTGTCACACAAACCAATAATATTCCGACAACCAACAGCAGAAGTTGGTATAAATTCTGTCACTTTCTTTCTGTCTCCATTTTCTCTCTTATTTTAATGGTTATCACCTGCAGATATCATGTGACTATTCTACTCAAAACTCAATTTTTGGAAGACAATGTATATGCATTGTGATATAAACTATAACAAAACTACCAGAACCAATGTTTTTTTAACTTCAATATCTTTTTCAAAGCTGACTGTTACTCAAGGGAAAATTACTTTAAAAACCATGATGCAACTTATAAATATGATTTTTCATATTTTCTTCTTAAAAGTAAGGCACAGCAAATATTAATGTAGCTCAGTCAGTATAGTGACTAGCTACGGGCTGGACGGCCGGGGTTCGATCCCCGACGGGGGCAGAGGATTTTTCCTCTAGCCTCTGCGTCCAGACCGGCTCTGGGGCCCACCCAGCCTCCTCTACAATGGGTACCGGGGGTCCTTTCCCGGGGGTAAAGCCGGCCGGGGCGTGATGCCGACCACTCACCCCCATCTAGTGCCGAGGTCAAGGAAGAGAGGAGCTATACCTCCACTCACCCCAAACGCCTACATAGCGTATAGTGGGACAAACTTTACTTTACTTACTATATTATCCTCCCACCTGTATGCTGATCATCTGCTAGACTAAACACACAAATTACTAAGTTCTATATCTTGAGTAGGAGCTTTCTATGCTCTTATGGCATCAGAACTGCAAAGTGTTAGCTGCATAATGAAGGCAATCCAGGCACAGTTAAACTACAGCAGCATAACTTCTGATACATGTCTGTCTTGTCTCATAGGTAACCTAGAGTAGTGGATAGCTGTTAAGTGAAGACATGTGCAACTTCCTACAGAGGATTTAGCCCTTCCATACAAAGCTATATGAAAGACAGATATGGAGAAAATATAAAGCTTGCTGCACACCTTCTACCACCTTAATCCAGTCTAGCATCCATTTCGATGTCATCATTTTCAGTATTAGGAGATAAATTGTCATAACCCTAATAAAAAGTGGTAAGGAGCGAATTAAATGTTACACACAAATGGTTAGTGCTCATGATTCACATTTGTGAGGTTCTGGGTTTAAATCTCAGATTGGACACTAGCAATTCTCATGTTTCACATGCAAATGCCAGGAGAGTACCTTAAATTAAGTCATGACTACTCTCATACCCTTTCCAATTCATTAATTAACCTAGTATTTGATGCTATACAGTCTGGGCTACTGACAGCGTCATGACATAAACAAGTTTCAGATCCAAAGGAGAAACAAGAAGGGAGAATAAAGAGGGGTGAAGAAGAAGAAAAGGGAAAGCATAAAAGCGTAGTAAGAGCAGGATATGACAAACATTATTATGTCAAGTAACAACAATGACATTTTCATGACCAGTGCAGTATGTGTGGGAACCATGGAACATACCTTATAAAGTGGCTCTACTCGTGTTGGAATGACATATGCTCGTTTTGATTCTTGGAATGGATGCCGGCACAGGACCCTCTGTCCAACCTGTGGCGCTGGCTCTACTGATCGCATCAACAGATCAATCAGAGCATGTCCTATAACATATATTATTACTGAGTGAATTTCAAAGTGTTCTATGAAGTACAGTAACTCATGTACCAATACATTTCTACTTCATAAGAAGTTCTACAAATTTAACAATAATTCACAAAGTGTGGCACTAGCACCCTGATTTTGCTCAGCCCAATATCATCTCAACACCTTCTGTTGATGTCTCTTTGCTGAACTATTCCTAGCTCAATACAGAAACATGAGTGCAAATTGTATGGCTTAATTGTACACAGAGAGAATGAGGCAGAGGAGATAAGAACAGCAGAAAAAACTGCACTGCAACAAGGAGTTCACATTCACTGCACTCCTAAGTCTGAAACCAATAAATTATTTTTCAGAAGAAGATTGTCCATCTTCTGACTAGCACCTCAGCTATGCAAATGAGTGGTATTATGGAAGATATTTTTGAGTGTAGTACCATATCAAACAGGTTAGAAATATTGCAGTATCCAACTGAAGGAACAGTTTTAAATATGAACTGTTATTATGCAATTTACATGTGTTTATATGGTTGGCTGATACCATGTCTGTCTTGGACACTTAAAATTTTTGCAAATTTATATTGAACCACTCAAAACCATTCTTCTGTGAACTAAAGAATTATGATTCAGTGTATCCTAAGTTGAGGTTTATCCCTGTTTTCATAACCAAAATTCCAAACACCCAAGTATTCTGTGCATGGTCATTATCATGTATTGTTCAAATTCACTGCTAGTCTGCCAGTGAAGAAAAATGTTCCTTTTCTCTTTCTCATTATGCATTTTAAAACTTCTGGACACATTAGCACTGGATAACACTGAATAAAGGCACATGAAGTGAGGTGCCCACAGGACAGATTTCTTTCACTTCCTATCACTGGCAGTGGGAAACAGGCCAGGTGTTGCTAAGAATGAGTCATGATAGCCAGTAGCCAGAGCTCAGGTCTACACAATGATTGCACCATGGAGGGATTGGTATTCTGCACATAAGTTCTCACTTAATCAAAGGCCAGGACTAACAACAAAGAAATGGGAAAATCTGCAGTGCATCCAACCCATCTTGAACCCACAACTGATATTACAAGAAGAATCACAGGTTCTCACGGTAGTGAGAATGAGGGACCAATGAAATGTTGGTAAACTTCTAACAGACTGCATGGTACCACAACCAAGAAAAGAGCTATCTTCAACAACACAAGAGTTCAGCACCTTAGTCCCACTCCACTAGGTAATTCTCATGTTAGCATTTAAAGTTGTACACTGCTGTGCCCAGAGTGAATACTTAAAATTGTCAGTGTAATTTTGTTACAAAGAAGAGTGAGTGAGTGAGAGAAGAGAGAGAGCAGTGCAATGAGACTTAGTACAGTGCACTTAATTATTCTGTAAGAATTAATTTTTCCTTCTTTCCCAAACCCACTGATCATTTTGCTTTGAACAATTTAAAGTATTTCACCTAACCTCACTCATTTGAATGTCTTCCCTGTCAGTTATTCCCACATGCAGACTGTCATGTTGTATATTATGATCTTGCACATTATCATTGCATCTGAAATCACATGCTCCAGATGATTCAAAATTTTGTATTCAGCATATCTAAAAATAATAAGCACCATGTCACAACTATCACTCTTAGACATGCAATTCTCACTGTCCAACCCAACAAAATAATTTATAACTTCACTAAAAGTACTAGTGCTTTCATTTCCACCTTCACATAATAAAGACTCGATGAACTCTTTCCAAACATACTTACTCTCATATGAAAGCATTTTGCAATGTCTCAGACTAGTATTATTGTATATTAATCTATTTCACAAGGAAGAAGTCATGTGTCAATTCACAACTAACATGGCAGTGACTTGAATGTTCAAGGATTAACATGTCATTCCATCTGTTGATGCAAATCTGATTCAATATTCTACTGCAAAGGGTTAAAATATGCCATGACTGGTTACTTTCAGATTTTTACCATTAACCAATGCTACATACCCTATTCACCTGAAAAGGTGTCTCTAAATAAACAAAGAAACAAATACAATTCATAACTACATATCTCATAATCTGAGGATAATATGTAACAAAATATCTTTATTTCTTACCATCAGCACCATATAAACGGTAAGCAGTCTTCTTTCCAGGCATTGTAACTTTCATCACATCTTGACTCAATTTGATTCGAGGTAAGCCATTAATCTCTACCATTTTGTACACACCACCTAGTGCTGGCTGCCTCTCGCAGGTTACTGTAATCAGTTACCACAACTTATGAAACCTGTACAACTTGAACAAGATTAAATTCAAAAATGGAAAGGTTCACTCTTTGTGGAGTATACTAAATTCCAGAAATGCATAACAAACAACAATTAACAAGAAAAGCAGCCTTCCACTTAATTTTGCTACTCTTTTCACCCTTAATGTGTAGAAGCAATATATTTACAGGCTAATGCACATGCATTCATGGATAAGCTATAACTAATATTTTATAAAGGCTGATAATTCATTTCCTTCAACACAACAGACCTTCCCCTGACTTTACCATGGCAATGTTACAACTCATACATCACGCAGGATTGCCAATCCACTGACAGACAGCAGAACAAATGGTTCATATAATCACTGATATATGACAGCATGGGCAATAAATCATTGTCTTCAGGCAGATATGATATAAAATAGATCACATGATCATTAATAGACAGCAGCATGAACAGTTCATAGGATCAGTAACACAAGACATCTTGCTGGAAAATCTCCCAAATAGTGACTTCCAACATTCATCAGATTGGTATTACCAACTGTATGAAATTAAGGGATATGAAAATATCAAATAAGTAACAAACAACTATTAACACTATAAAAAAGACACTATTGCCATACGCGTTTCAACCTCAAGAGGTCATCATCAGTGGCATCTGCAGTATCGTTTGAAATAACTTTTGTGAAACACCTTATTTATTTCTAAATCCAGTTTGAACCATTTGGTTAAATGAACTGATTTCCCAGATGCCACTGATGATGAAATCTTGAGGTTGAAACACGTATGGCAATAGTGTCTTTCTTATAGTGTTAATAGTTGATTGTTACTTATTTGATATTCTAATATACTACACGGTATGCAAAGTTGTAAGGGAAATGAATTTTTTATCAACCTCTATTGGCAAAGATTCCATATCAAATGGCTGGAAATCCCATCAGCCAATCCTGAGTTACTACACAGCAAAACATATAGTTTGTAGAACAAACAATGGTCTGCAAGCCTTAGGGGGTAAGAACCCTGGGAGTTTTCAGGCCTATGATTTGTATGGCTCCTTGGGGAAGCTTTAGGACTGTCTAGTTTATAGGATACAGCCTCAATGAGGGCTAGTTGAAAGACATGGCAGACAGGCATGAATGGGCCCACAAGGTGTTTGCTTGTTCTACAGAATTAAGAAAACCTAAAAATGGTGACAGCAGGACTCTCTGAAATGCATGCAACCCACATCAAAGACAAATTTAATTATCTTTCACCAGTCTATGTTATGTTATTAAAGAATGCACATTTAATGCTCAATACTTCCAAGATATAAATCTTTACTAAGCATTAGGCATTTTAGTACTTGGATTAGGTCTTAACTATAAAGTGAAGGCTAAAATCATGAAACCAAAATCCCACTAGGTCTGTGCAAATTCAACATTACAGCCCTGCATAGGAAATGAGTTCCACACTCCTACCATCTTCGATTCAACAAAGACAGATTTTTACTACTTTTACAACATAAAAACACTTTAACATACAATATCCTGCACTGCCAAAACCAAGAAAGAGAAGCTCTGTAATTTGGACTAAGGTATTCACAGCTTGTCTTTAACAGGCACTTTGTTCCTTCTTTCTTTTTAGCTGACTATCAGTAACACAACCTATGCCTTTCCAGTAGTGCCACTGTAACTTCACTCCTTCCACATATGGGTACCACAAGCACCAGCTATGATGCACCATTTTGGTCTTAATTGTAGATGAGAAAATTTTGAAAAGCTTATTGCAATGTCTCTCCCCCGCAGGTATTTCCTCCTTGGCGTGGTGGGGGGGCTTGTGTGTCCCGATAATCCCGAGAGCTATGCCAGCGGTAGCTTTGCTACCGGTAGGGCCTCCCAAGCCGGACAGGTCAAGGGTAGGGACCAGACTAAGAGAAAGAGCCCTAGCCTCCTCTATCTTCTTCCTCCAATCCTCTCTATCCAACGCTATCCTTCTCCAAGCTGCTGTTCCAAGGAGATTTCTGGAGTCAGTCGTCACTGCATCCAGCCATCTACCTTTAGGTCTTCCCACTGGCCTTCTCCCATATATTGTTCCTTCCAATATTTTTTTTAAGAAGCACACTGTGCTATATAGTGGGAAGAATGAAGGTAGACATGAATATGGAGTAGCATTTATCGTAGGACCAAGATTTAAGAATAACATTTTAGATTATCAAGCCATCAATGACAGAATGTGTGTGATGAGACTTAAGATGAAATTCTACAATGTAGCAATGATTAACATATATGCTCCAACAGAAGAGACAGAGTCGAACGAGAAAGACGAATTCTACCATAAACTGGAAAGGGTGTTAGATGCTTTACCATCCAATGATGTTAAAATAATTTTAGGTGACTTTAACGCCAAGATAAGAAAGGAAGAGGAATTTAGAAGCATCATTAGGAGGAACAGCTTACATGATATCTCCAATGATAATGGGAGAAGACTGATAGATTTTGCTGAGAGTAAGAATATGGTAGTAAGTTCAACTCAGTTCGCACATAAGAACCTACATAAGCAGACATGGAGGTCACCAAATGGCCAAGTGTTTAATCAAATAGATCATGTATTAATAGATAAGAGAAGAGCTTCAGGAATACAAGATGTGAGGTCATTTAGAGGCGCTGACGGAGATACAGATCACTACTTTGTTAGAGCAAGATACCTGTGTTAGATAACCAGGACACCAAGACAGAATTTGGAAAAAATTCCTAAAATAAAGGTGGTGGCTCTGGAAGAACAAGATATTAAATTTAACTACCAACAATCCATTGTAAGAGAATTTGAAGACCGGA